CACGCCTCCCTCCTCCCCCCCCGAGCGCGGGGATCCTCGCGCATGCGCACCGCCCTGCCGCGGACCCTATTTGGCGGGGCCGCCGGCCCGGAACGTACATCGCCGCCAAGCGCCGTCAGCCTCCACCAGCGCGTCCACCAGCGCCGGGTCCTTGAAGCGTTTGATCTGCGTGTCCCGCACGAGGCCGGGGTCCCCGCCCTTGTCGGCGCGGAACAGGTCCAGATCCAGCACCATGGTGCCGGCGACACAGCGCTGAGGGAGGCTGCAGCAACACTGCGCATGCGCGGCACTGCGGCTCTCGTGCACATGAGACCGGAAGCGGAACGCTGGGCGCTTGCGTAGGAATACTCCTTGAAGCGTTTGATCTGCGTGTCCCGCACGAGGCCGGGGTCCCCGCCCTTGTCGGCGCGGAACAGGTCCAGATCCAGCACCATGGTGCCGGCGACACAGCGCTGAGGGAGGCTGCAGCAACACTGCGCATGCGCGGCACTGCGGCTCTCGTGCACATGAGACCGGAAGCGGAACGCTGGGCGCTTGCGTAGGAATACGTGTGGGAGCGGTCTGTCCTACAGCCCCTGGGGGCCGGGCGGGAGCTGGTCCGCAAGGGGAGCCAGTTTAAAAACCACCGCCCCTCCCGCACAAGCTGCCTGTAGCCTGGTGCTCGTGAGAAGGAGGCAGCAGCCCCAGTCTGAGCCCCCAGGCTCTGCGTAAGCCAGACATGAGCTGGGCTGCCTCCCCTCTCTTACTGCACTTGAATGCAGAGCAGATCCCCGAGCCAGGACTGAGCTGTGCTGCCTGCCCGCTTGGGGCACTCTAAATGCAGAGCCACAGCAAGGGTGGGGGAGAGGGAATAGTTAATTGACTACACTGTTACATCCCTAGTCCAAGCACAGAGCTGGCCCCTGCAAGCCCTGCTTGCTGTCCCGTGCTGTGCGTGGCATGTCGTGACCCCAAAGGGCCTAGCCGCAGGGTGTCCTCGCCCCTCAGAGCTCGCTCTAGGTTTTTTGCTGCCCCAAGCAAAAATTTTTTTGCTTCCCTCCCCCCCCCACATTGCTTTTTTTGTTGGCTTTTACACGTTTGCACTTTACAATGGTTTGTTTTGTTTTTAAATTTAAAAAAAAAATGAAACCAGAAAATTTGCCCCTCGCTCCCGACCCACAGCCCCCACCGCACAGCCCTGCCAGTGTCTCACTCCCACCCACAGACCCCACAGCCCAGTCCTACCAGGCCCCCTCACTCCTGACCCACAGCCCTGGGCATCCCCGCCTCTCCCTGCCCCTGCTACCCGGGGGCCAGTGCCTGACACATTCCCTCAGGGGTCTCCCTTGAAGAGCTAGGGGGCCTGCTTGGCCTTGGAAGGGAATGAGCAGCACCAGTTACCAGGGGCGCGAGCCTTTCTTGCACAGCGGTCCCCTGGAGACTCTTTTAATGCCACAGGAGTGCCCGTTGCTGAGCTGCCTGGAGCCGATGACCAGGGAGCCATGCGGGTCCAGGTGGGCTGAGGACCGGGCAGGGGCTCAGTCCCGCCGTGTGCTGCTTGCAGGGTGCGGGGGGAAACGTGGGCTGGGGACACCGACAGCGGCAGTCTCTTCCCCCCTGCGACTTTTCTCCCTCTCCCCCAGCGCCCGCCTCACGGCTGCTGGCAACAGCAGCAGGATGTGGCCAGGGCAGCAGCAGCGACAGGCAGAGCGGGGTTGGGCAGCAGTCAGTCTGCATGCTGCTCCACAGCTCTCCACCATCTCCAGGCTGGAGGCAGGGGGGTACCTCGCTAGCTCTGCAACCCCCCGCCGCAGGTCCCAGCTCACATAAGGCCAACAGAGGTTTCTCTGCCACAGCCAGTCCCCATGGCCCAGCAGGGTGCTGCCTACAATAGGCTGGCCCCAAGTCCTGGGTGCCAAAGTCCTTCACGTGCTGCTGGAGCTGGGGACGGCACCGGGAGAGCCCTTTAGCCGACCTGCAAGTGAAGTAGCAAGTGGGAGCTGCCCTCGGGCACAGGACCCCCGTGCAAGCTCGGAGCAGCTGCAGGGATAGCGGCGGGAGAGGCGCGCACAGGCGGAGGTAGCACTGCCCCCTGCGTAACGGTGTCAGCCTGCGAGGAGTCCCTGGGCGCCAGCACCATCCTCGGCCCAGCTTCCTTGCCTTGCCCCGGCTCCTTTGCTCAGGACTGGTCCCGTCCTCCCCACCCTCCCCTCCGCCCCTCTCCGGGCTGAAAGTAGACGCCTCAGCTCCCCAGCCGGCTGGGACCGAGCTCCTCCAGCCCCGCGGCAGGGGCCAAGGTACCGTATGAAAGAGGGGTACGATGGTAGGCGGTGGAACCGGGCAGCAGCAGTAGGCAAAGGGTGGGCACCAGGCTCCGGGCATGCATGGTGCCAGCGCTGTGCAGCAGGTAGTGGCGTCTCCCGCGGCTTTTTCAAATTGGCAGGGCGGGGCGGGGCATTGCCAGGGGTGGCTGCTTACCTGGAAATGCCGCCCCTGGAAATGTGCCGCCCCAAGCACCTGCTTGATTTGCTGGTGCCTAGAGCCGGCCCTGTCCCTCCTCCCTCACCCCTATCATCGGTTCCAGAAATGGACTTTTTGGATCCTGCCCCACTGTGGGTGTATACCGCGCCTTGGCTGCACAGTGCTGACAGACACTGGATGAAGTTTCAGGGGGTAGCCCAGTTAGTCTGTAACAGGAAAAACTTAAAAAACAACAAATGGTCTGGTAGCATTTTAAAGACTAATGAAACACGTGGATGGTATCATGAGCTTTTGTGAGCACAATCCACTTTTTCAGATGACCAGTGCCGGACTGAGCCATAGTTGCCCCCGGGCACACGGCACCCCTTACCACTTCAAATCAGGTGCCCCCCATAGGTTGGTGCCCCGGGCAGCTGCCCGGCCAGCTCTCCCCTTAATCCGGCCCTGCAGATGACAGCTGGATGAAGTGAATGAACTGGATGAAGTGATAGGTTTATTGATTATCAAGTCTCATATGTAATGTGCAGTCACAAAAGAAGCTGTCTTTGGTATAAAAATGTGTGACATCTAGTCCCTGAATCAGGTGCCCCCCATAGGTTGGTGCCCCGGGCAGCTGCCCGGCCAGCTCTCCCCTTAATCCGGCCCTGCAGATGACAGCTGGATGAAGTGAATGAACTGGATGAAGTGATAGGTTTATTGATTATCAAGTCTCATATGTAATGTGCAGTCACAAAAGAAGCTGTCTTTGGTATAAAAATGTGTGACATCTAGTCCCTGAACAACCCCGACCTGCTTGTGAGAGTTTCAATTCTTCCACTGGAGCCAACCCAGCCCTTCCCGCCCCCCTTAGGTCAGAGAGTGAACTAAGAAGATGACGCACAGTTAACAAGGAAGATTGTTACTTTGGCAACGGTTGGCAAGGAGCGAGTGTGTCTGTATCCACACACAGCAAGGCTGGCGCTCCATGACTTCAAAGGACTCTCTGGAGTAGGTCCGCTGGTCTTGTGCCCAGTGGTAGAACTGACTGAAATGGCAATTAACATCCCCCGCCCCCCCCCAGCCTCTGGAAAAAGCAGCATGAACATGTCATCTTGCTACAAGGCGCGTTCAAACACATTGTTTGTGATTGGTAGTATAACAGAAGAGACCTGTTCTAAACTGCACAGTGCTCGCTCCAGGCCAATGCAGCGCGAGAGAGCTGGGCCACAGGGGTCAAACTCACCCTTCTTAGGGCTCCACTGAGTGACATTCCAGGGCAGAGCTCAGCCCAGAACCCAGGGCTGAGTTGTGTTGATGTACCCTTGGGCACCTCTGAGGGGTGCTGCCCTGGGCTGCTGCAGGGCCAGCCCCCCTGCCTTTGGGGAGTCCCTGAGCCTGCATTCCTAATGCAGGAGCTCGGTCCATTCCTGAGGCAGCTTGTGTTGGCTGTCTAGCTGCTCCCAGGACTTGAACCCACACCACCCTGTGCTCTCCAGGTCAGTGTGCTGACCCCTGGGCAAGGCCCACCCTCCCTCACTTGCTGTTGGTGGGTTGGGGTGCTCCTGGGGTGGGCAGGCCCTCAGGGACACTCTAGCACTTCTGCTGGTTTCAAGCACCTTGTTTCGCACTCTCTGTTCACCCATAGCACAAGTTTCAGCACTGGATTTTACTCAGCTGCAATAGCACCAGGAACCTGCAGGCCCGTGTTCTAGGAAGGATGCACTGAAGCACTTAGCATGAGGCTTTGAGCACAGCTAGAAGGCCCCCCAGCGACCCTGTTTTAGGGAACCAGGAAAGATGTGTTTAAGGGGCAGTTTGCATGGGTATTTTAGGGTACAATGTTGGCAAAAGCTTAACTGCAAACTTGCCTTGGCAAAACATAGATATATGGTAATAAGCCAAAACGGCTAATAACCTAGCACTACCTTATATAGACTATGGGCAGCCTTCCTGACAGGCCGTGGTTGGAACTCCAGGCACTTTAAATCGCCTGGCTGGCCCAGCCCTGCCCCTTCCAGGAGTGTGGAGCTAGGCCCCTGCCCTTGGGGGGAGGGGGGGGCGGGAAGGAAGGCGGTGCCCAGTGGTAGAACTGACTGAAATGGCAATTAACATCCCCCGCCCCCCCCCAGCCTCTGGAAAAAGCAGCATGAACATGTCATCTTGCTACAAGGCGCGTTCAAACACATTGTTTGTGATTGGTAGTATAACAGAAGAGACCTGTTCTAAACTGCACAGTGCTCGCTCCAGGCCAATGCAGCGCGAGAGAGCTGGGCCACAGGGGTCAAACTCACCCTTCTTAGGGCTCCACTGAGTGACATTCCAGGGCAGAGCTCAGCCCAGAACCCAGGGCTGAGTTGTGTTGATGTACCCTTGGGCACCTCTGAGGGGTGCTGCCCTGGGCTGCTGCAGGGCCAGCCCCCCTGCCTTTGGGGAGTCCCTGAGCCTGCATTCCTAATGCAGGAGCTCGGTCCATTCCTGAGGCAGCTTGTGTTGGCTGTCTAGCTGCTCCCAGGACTTGAACCCACACCACCCTGTGCTCTCCAGGTCAGTGTGCTGACCCCTGGGCAAGGCCCACCCTCCCTCACTTGCTGTTGGTGGGTTGGGGTGCTCCTGGGGTGGGCAGGCCCTCAGGGACACTCTAGCACTTCTGCTGGTTTCAAGCACCTTGTTTCGCACTCTCTGTTCACCCATAGCACAAGTTTCAGCACTGGATTTTACTCAGCTGCAATAGCACCAGGAACCTGCAGGCCCGTGTTCTAGGAAGGATGCACTGAAGCACTTAGCATGAGGCTTTGAGCACAGCTAGAAGGCCCCCCAGCGACCCTGTTTTAGGGAACCAGGAAAGATGTGT